CTTCATTTAGTTGTACTGTGATTTAGATGCAGAGCAAGATTAAGAAGTGGGGTAACTTTTTCCCTGCTTTCATGAATCCTATGGATAGTGTATTAGCTTGTTTTCAGACGTCCACAAGAACACACTTGTGACCTATTTGAAGATTATGTTTCAGTAGCTGACTCAGAAAGAACTGAGGTCAGACTTCAATAGACTGACCTGCAGAGCAAATACTATGAAAATATGTTTACATGTCTGTCCCATCACTCTGAGCCAAATTTGAACATAGGGCACTTTCATGTCGCTGTCTGAAGATGCTAAACTAGAAATGCAGACTTGTAATGTAGCCTTTGGTAAATCACTATTTCTGACCCACCCCGCCCCATTTCACTGTATTTTAAATGATTGTTGATTATAGTTGTTATAATTGTGAATTGAATACCTGCCGCCAGATGGAAGATTTTTTTTCTTGCCAAGATTTTATACATGATTTTATACATGTGCCCCTTTGTATTCTTTGACTTTAATATTGGTAAGAAGACTGCAGCACTACAGTGTATCAGGAGATTTCTAGGCCATTGTGGAGATGCTGTTCCATTACTGAAAAAGAATTCTGTTCTGGCAGCACTTACAACCCCAGAGGAGTGCCCAATACATGGGAGAAAGACCTACCAACATGTTTAGGTGGTGAAGGGTGGGGGGATTCCAGGATTATGTTTCAGGCAGATCAAAACAGTTAGATCAGGGGCAGAGCCATAGGATCTGAAGAACTTTCCTTTCCTAGGGCCCATCCCCAGCAAGCGGAGGGAAAGGCATAAGCCAACTTTGGAGTTAGCATTGTTTTGTCTCCTACTGGTGTCAATGGGAGTGGGGGGAGAGTTAAAAAGAGTAATGAAGGGAAGAGAAGAAGAATCTATCCCCAGATGTCTCTCCTGGCTGGCACAAGCTGGTAGAATTTAAGATGTCCTGGCTAATCCACAATGTATTCCACCCTTCACCCCCTGCTGCAGCAGTGTGTGTGTGTGTGTGTGTATCAAATTTATAAGATTAATATTTTGGGACTCCTAAAATGCCCCACCCAGCATGGCCAGTGAGGCAGGATGCTCTATGTACAAATCTTGGACTAAGCTTCACAGAACAAAGTATAAAAAGGCAGTTGGTTGGTGGTGGGAAGAAGGAATCTTTGAGACTAACTGGTTTATTTCAGCATGAGCTTCCATGAAATATTAATTAATTAATATTAATCCAGTATATATGAAGAAATTGATTAATATCCACTAAAGCTCATGCTGAAATAAACCATGTAGTCTCAAAGGTGCTACTGTATTCTTTCTTCTCATGGCTCCATTTCCCCCCCCCCCTTTTTTTTTTTTTTTTTTGCTGTGATAGACTGACATGGATATCTCTTTGGAAAAGGTTCTTTTGGGGTTTAGTATAGTGAGCCTGTCCTGTAATGCAAACACCAATAATCCAAAACTCCCATTGGGCATTATAAGTGTAGATTAAAGGGTTCTCATCCCTCACGTCTACATTATTTTTTTCATAGAGCTCCCAGGTGACTGTTTAGTTTCATTGTTAACTGAAATATATCCCAAGGAAATGAAATTCTGTGTATAAACTGCAGAGTGAGAATGTGCCTTGTTATCATTAGATTGTCCTCTCTTGCTTCAGTATTAGGATGTAATATCATTAGACCCTACCAGTTTTGCTTTGCTTTCATGCAAAAAGGCCAGTTGATATTACTACAGCTACTAATATGAATAAATTTGGCTATGGTAAATGCAAAATGGATTGGGTCCACAAGTTTACATTTCTTACCCTAAAATTCTTAGCTCAGCAGTGTTTCTTATTATATAAACATAACTTAGATCTGTATTTATTTAGCTTTAACATTTTATGCAAACTATGAGCTGTTTCAGGCTATAACTCATGTTATAGTCTCCCCATCTTTGCCAGCAACCTAATTTAATAAACAAACCACTGTCATAATTTTTGTCTGATGTTTTACTAAGGAATGTGTGAATTTTTATTTTATTAATTAGCAAAGGCAAAGCTACATGGAGGGCATCTATGCATATTTGTAACCTCCCAGGACAAACCCAAACTTACTTTAAAAAATAAAATAAAAGTAGAATAAACTAGATATCCCCTACCCCATGTACCAGTTATTAAGATTCTTTCAGTCTGGAAATGCTTTGCAATGATCACTCTCTTAGCTAAATAATAATAATAATAATAATAATAATAATAATAATAATAATAATAATAATAATTTTTTCTAGCCTGCCTATTTCCAAAGGGAATCAAGGTGGGTTACAAGCATAAAAATAAAATAATATAATAAGGAAACAATAATATAGAAATTGCATAAAAAGCAAATACATGGGGGGAAGGCTATTCTAAGAAGGCCTGTCAGAAGAGATCCATCTTAAGTGCCTTTTTAAAGACTGTTAAGGTGGTGATGTGACGGATCTCCTCCAGCAGGTCGTTCCATAACTTAGTGGCAGCAGTCGAGAAGGCCCTCTGAGTTATTGCAGCCAATCTAAATTTTTTAGGCTGCAGAAGATTTTTCCCAGAGGACCTTAGTGTGCAGGGTGGGTTGTGTGGAAGAAGGCACTCCTGCAGGTAGTCAGGACCCAAGCCATGTAGGGCTTTAAAGGTTATAACACTTTATACTGTGCCTGGAAACTAATTGGCAGCCAATGTAGGGATTTTAAAACAGGTGTTATGTGGTCAGTTCTAGATATTCCTGTGACCAGTCTGGCTGCCATATTCTGTACCAATTGAAGTTTCTGAATTTGGCACGAGAGTAGCCCCATGTAGAGCACATTGCAGAAGTCAAGTCGAGTGGTTACCAGCACGTGTACCACTGTTTCTAGGTCGCCAGGAATGGTTGCAGCTGGCGAATCAGCCAAAGTGGTCACCTGAGTGGTCAGGTGAAGCGGCAAATCTAGGAGAACCCCCAGACTGCAGATAGAGTCCTTCAGAGGAAGTGTGATCCCATCCAGAACTGGCTGACATATCTCCATTCCCAGGTTGGGGGTCCCTATAGCAAGTACCTCTGTCTTGTCTGGATTCAGTTTGAGTTTGTTTTCCCTCATCCAGTCCATTACCGCCCCAAGACAGTCATTCAGAGGAGAGATGCCATCCTTGGTCACTGCATTAGTCCAAGACATAGAAAAAATATTGGGTGTCATCAGTGTATTGATAACACCCTGCCCCATGTTTCCAGATGATCTCACCCAGCGGCTTCATGTAAATGTTAAACAGCATGGGAAACAGGATGGTGCCCTGGGGGACACCAGATTTTAGCTCTCTTTTAGAAGAGCAACTGTCTCCCAGCATCACCATTTGGAATCTGCCTGAGAGGTAGGAATAGAACCACTGCAAAGAAGAGCGTCTGATTCCCAACTCTCCCAAGCATTCCAGAAGGTTACCATGGTCGATACCAACAGATTCCCTAGACTCTCCCTAGTCTTCAGGCTAAGGTAAATACACTTGACGTAGTCAGTTTCACAGATAGGTATACTGGCCAAAGTGAGATTACTCTTGTGGATCATAGCCCATGTTCCCTAACCTGCTCATTAAGGGAATATCAGCTGGTAGGGCCTGGGCTCACTTACAGAGCTATCTGTGTCTAGCAGATAAAAGCCATTGGTAATTATTCCCTTTTGTAGAAATGAATGAGCCAGAAAATCAGCCCATAATCAAAGCCAGTTCTTTCATTAATTAAAGACTGCACACTTACGTTCATGCACGTGTGCCTGCATGCAGCTGTGTGTACATACACAGCCATTCATCCAGAAGCTACTTCCCCAAATATTTCTGTACACCTTATCTACCCATGATGTTCTCTTGTTGGTGGCTTAGGGTGAATGGTTGGCTGCCTTCACTTGTCACCTTCTAATGTGTCATGGGGGAGCCATTAGAATGGCTACTGAGAGCCAGCCATCCTGCCATCCCAGAACATGCACAGCACCATGTGTCTGCATGTATGGTTTACTCATGAGATACATGCTGTTGCTGCTAGACCAGGGGTAGGCAACCTTTCCTCTTTAAGGGCCGAGGGACTTCAGCTCCCAGAATCCCAGGAGCTATTGGCCAACATGGGACTATTGGCCAACATGGCTGAGGCTTCTGGGAGCTGAAGTCCCTCGGCCCTTAAAGGGGAAAGGTTGCCTACCCCTGTGCTAGACTGAGGAAGCAGTGAACAGGCACCAGGCAGAATGTTGAGTGAAAGGGACTGAAGTATTGGGAAAGCTGGATGTGTGACACGAAGATTCTGTGTCATTAAGCTAGCCTTTCTTGTATGTGGAGAACACTGTCCTGGTCAACTTCAGGTTCTTTCCATCAGGTAGCAAAATTGTGTTGGCCTTGCCCACAGATGAACAGCCACTAACTTTATTATATTCTTGCATATGTAGTTCTCACTGGGAGATTAGATAGGAGGAAATGGACAGGACTGAAATGAGGTAAATGAAATAGTTTTCTGTATGCCCGCATATTTTGTGGGTTTTTTTTTTTAAAAAAAAGCTCCAATAAAGCAAGGCCCTAAGGGCTGATTTCATATGATGAGCGATCTCCATGATTGTATTGCCTGACATATTTTTGTTTTCCTGAAAGCAACCTCCATCTGCTAAGATTGAACTAGTGCTACAGCTCTGTCCACACTTTCCAGAACATAAGTCTCACTGAATAATTGGGACTTAATTCTAAATGGGTATTGACAGAATTGAGCTGCACCTCTTCTGGTCTTGTTATATGTTTCTAATACTGAGCACATTACAACTCTATATTAAATTGCATAGCTGTGACCCTAAAATTTGCAAAACATTTTTAAAATGTTGTCAAAGGAAACATTGGAAATGTTATTGTTGCTTACCTTCAAGTCATTTATGATATATGGTGACCCTAAGGCAAACCTATCAGGGTTTTCTTGGTAAGATTTGAAGGTGCTTGCCATTGCTTTCTTCTGAGGTTGAGAGAGTATAACTTGCCCAAGGTCACCTAGTGGGCTTCCATGTCTGAGCAGGGATTTGAATCTTTGTCTTCACGAGTCTTAGTCCAACATCCAAACCACTAGACCACACTGGCTTTCATACAAGAAATATAGGTATCCTATTTATGACTTTGTATCTTGCAAAACAATAAAATAAAATTCCACACATGGAATATCCATGACTGAACACTGTCATATTTTTCAAAAACAGGATATTGTGGAGTTCTTTCCAGATATATCCACTCAGAGTGATGATATGTAGAATGGGGTATCTGAGGCCCATTTTTGTTATAGTTCTCTACTATCAGTTATTGTTAGCCCAGAACCAGAGTGATATGGGATGTTACCTTCTAGACAATCCTTCTGTCTCTAGGTATGGTTCAAGCTATTACATATGCCAGGAAGAATGTATAGTTTGGGGGTTATCAAGCCTTTTTCTTTTTATAGTCTCCTAACCAGTTAAAAGGAAAGTTCTTCCCAGTGGTTTATCTAAGTGCAATGAAGAGCATGCTTTTACATCCATGGAGCTTACCTTGATACACATACAATAATAAATACATTGCTCAAGTAAATGTTTCTATATTTCAAAAAGTACTAGCTTTCAAAAGCTAATTTAAATTACACTGGTAAAAGCAGGGAAAATCACAGTAAGAAATGGCATAGAATTATTATTATGGTTCTATAAGAATAAGGATTAAATACCCTGAAGGCACCACATCCTGTTTGATCTTGGAAGCTAAGCATGGTCAGCCCTGGTTATTACTTGGATGGGAGACTGTCAATGAATACCAGGTGCTGTAGGCTATATTTCAGAGGAAGGAACTGGCAACACCATCCCTGAGGATTCTTTGCCTAACCATATGCCTTGATTACAACCAGTTTGGTCTACTGTAGCACATTTTACATGGGGCTGCCTTTTGAAACTGTCGCAGAATGCTGAGGCCAAAATGCTGACTGGTTTTAGGGAGCATATAACTCCCTTGTTAAAACAGCTTCACTGGCTACCAGTTCATTTCCAGGTATAATTCAAAGTCATATATTGCTTAGAATGATCCACACTATTTGAAATGCTGTATCTCCCCATACAAAGCTCCCAGAGCTTTAAGATCTTCAGTGGAAGGCTTTTCCTTGGTCCTGCCACCATCATAGGCTCACTTGGTGAGGACACTAGAGAGAGAGAGAGAGAGAGAGAGAGAGAGAGAGAGAGAGTCTTCTCAATGGCTGCTCCTATTCTTGGGAACTCCCTCTAATGGGGGGGCTAGACTGGCCCCCTCTTTGTTCTCCTTTTGTTGGCAAGCAAAACCATTTCTTATCAAGCAGGCTTTTAATATATAATTGTGGCCAGGAAGATTTTTTACTGGGGTGTTTACTTGGCATATTTTTAATGATTTTATATTATTAACTTTGTATTTTTAAAGGATTTTACATTTTTGTTTGTTATATCAATACAGTTTTTTTAAACTGAGTTTTAAAATTGTACTGTTTTGTTGTTGTTGTTGTTGTTGTTGTTTTAAACTTTTGTGAGCTGTCTTTTGGGAGCAAGGCAGCTTACAAATAAACTGTAATTAATTATTTACTCAATTGGGTTACCATAAGTTGACAGGTAACTTGAAGGCAATTTTGTATGTGCATGTATGCACACACACCCATTCACTCACTATAATACGTGGTGGGATCCTGGAACTAATTGGTTTTCTTTATTTTCATGGTTTGTTTCAAAATTATCTATTTATCCAGATAAATGTGGAGGAAACCAGTGTTTTAGGTTTCAGTATATGGAACTCTGGGATGGAAAATATCTCATAATTATTGAATTGTTGCAACATATACAGTTTAGTGAAGTCAAAACATTAAATGTCAGATGAAATATTCATCTAGGCTTAAAGGAAAAATGAAGCACTCCCAGCCATCCTGCTCAAAACTGGATCTTCATGCTATAGATGTGAGATATTGGAAGACTTAGGCCTAAGTCTTTTCTATCATGCCACAAATATTTTGTGAGTGTTATGGTCAAGCTGATGAAGTGGGATTTTTGTTTTATTTTGTTTTTGAAAAGGTAGAACTGCTAATTTCAGTACTGAAGAGGAGTCATATTTAAATGGAGTTTACTAGAGTGATTTTCCCCTTGGAGTGGATCCCCCTGTATCTCTACATATATGTGTATAACAAACATATAAATCTGATTACTATACAATTTTATATATGTGATGTACCTCTTTTATCATTTTTAAAAAATTGTTTTAAGTTGCATATCTGTAAAGTGATTTTAGGGGTGGTTGTAAGCCTGATGCAGTTAACTCCTTTCATTACTATTTTGACAACCATGTACCAAAGTAGTTATTACCTGCAGTGCTTTCTTGCTGTGATACAGTATGTCCTTTGATTGTTTCCCTGTAGGCAATTCAGTTCATAGCTCCTAGAAGTACTTAGGCAGATATCTTCATTTGGTGACTGTGGACATGATGAATGGGGAATTTAGTATTGTTCTTTTCCAGAACTAAATCGCTAAAACAATCCTTATGATGGCTACCTTCATTAAACCCTACAAAATAAAATAAATAAGCAAATGATGACCCTGAGAATGTATAGAGTCAATCTTCAGGACCACAATGCCACAAATTTATTGAAAGTATGTGATATGAATTAATTTGAGCCAAGATTCACCAAGGCTTAGTATATGTCCTGAGAAACATGAGGCAATAGTTATAATCTGTGCATGGAGAATGATCCAGAGTGACTTCCAACACCTGCCTGAAGCAATGAATGATATAATAATAATAATAATAATAACAATAATAATTTATATCCCACCCCTCAGCAGATGCAAAATATTCTTCCTGGACTAGTGCCCTCTAGGTGTGTTTCAATATAATTCCCACCATCCCTGCCTAGGATGGCCATTAGTCTACACTGATATGAATAGGATTCCAAACATCTGAAGGGTACCAGTTTGCAGAGGGATGTTGTACAGCCCCATGGTTCATTTTTAAAATGATGTCATTTCTGTAAATCCATAGTAGCCTCTGTTTCATCTGTTTTCTAAATTATCTAATAATCGTAGTGTCTGGAACCTGGAATTGAAAAAGGGATGGTGCTAATCAGAGGTTGTGTTGTCTTGGCATGATGGAACCTGAGTTTTCCTTTTCCTTTAGAGATTAAATGTTAATTCTCTTCTTCATAATAGAAGTATATAGCCAAATCGGGACCTATTGGGAAAGAACTGGAACCACACTGCAGCGATATGGGCCCTGAGAGAAAATATACTGTGTGTTTCCTGTAATTACAATGAGGGAAATATCTCCTTGTAGCATTTAACCATGTAGGTCAAATTTGACTGTCTCTCCAGTTCTGTGCATTTTATAATGGCTGCAAAGTAGTAGTAGTAGTAGTAGTAGTAGTAGTAGTAGTAGTAATAGTAGTGACCTTAGCTGTGATCAGTCTAAAGAAGCCCTCTTCCTCATAGTGTAAGGTAGCTTGTGAAAAATATGTGAACAATCTATAGGAAACAGCTGTCTATTTAGTGCAAATACTTCAGTGAGCAAATCTGTTCTAAATAAGTTGGGATTCTGTTGAGGAACAGGGCAGGAACATGACAAAAGAAGCAGTAAGGATCAATTTTGTAAAAATAGGTAAACTGGCAAAGGGGAGTGCTAAGTTCAACTACTAGTGAGGCAGAAGGGAGACCTTCCCATAGTTCCCTACCATTGGTCATGATGTCTACGGCTTCTGAGAGTTGTATTCCAAAACATCTGGAGAGCCAAAATTTCCCCACCCCTGTACTAATGTACAATACATACATTAGTTTTGATCTGTCATGTGTACTGCTCAAATATTATGCTTTCACTATAGAATAAACTGTACTAAACAAGGCAGCAATGAAATGTGGATGAACAGTTCTGGCCTGATTTATCCACAAAAATATACAAAATTGCATCACTCCAAACTATTTATCCAGGCTGGAATTGTATATATTTGAATTTAAAGCCCATTGCACAAGTGGTTTCTTTTTTCCTGTTCCATAGCATAATGCAGTAGCCTCAAAATTATAGTGCTAGAGACCCTGTCGGTTTGCATGCTCTAACACTTTATTATCTAATGATCTAATATGCAACAAGGCAAGGAGGAGGTGCTCATCACTGTGACAGGATGCCTAAGAGAAGTGACTAAATTACTTTATGTACCATTAGCGCTAGCAGCCATGGTGAACTCACCGTGAACGTTTATGCAAATACACCCGAATATATTCAAGTGGCCTTGTCAAGCTGACAACTGACAAGCAGTTTAAATGGCTCTTATTTTAAGGGGCAGTGCTGTGCTTTTTCCTTCCTGCTTTCCCCATGTACTATGTAAAATTACAGAGCTCTTTGGCAGTTGCTTTGATTCTATATCTGTCTCAAGAAGTAGCCTCAATCCTCCAAAATGGAGTAGGGGGGGGGATTCCCACTACTGGCTTTATATGTTTTTCATGAAATAAAATGCAAATTTTATAGCTATGTCAAACCATGTTAAGAATAGGAAGAGCCCAGTGGGCCTGTTCTGCTGGTCCATCTCTGAAAGTACTCAATACGATAACTCACACAATAGTTATGGAGCAGTTTTCTCCTGTCACTCATCCCAAGGGTCTGGCAAAGAGAGGAACAACCATGCACTTGGCTGTTTGGGGTCTGAGTCACAGGTACAATGTGTCGAAGCCATATGTGCTCCTTTTATCCATTTTTATACAAACCTTCACACATAATTGCTCTGTAGCAGTGCTAGTCAAAGTGGTGGTCCATGGACCAGTGTTAGTCTGCAAGCTATTGGTTACCTGTCTACAATGAATTTCTAGGGAGGCAGGAAACAGTTGTAGCCATTGGACACAGGTATAGTGCCCATTTCTGGCTCTTTAGGGGGGAAATGCTGGTGGTCTCCCACATCAGATAGGTTTAGAAGCACTTATTTATGGGCTAGCACTCTTCTTGTGGAAATAGTTGTGTTATTGCCATTATTACATGGTTTTATTAGCACAAAAAGCAGCAATACTGGACCAGAAGCAGCAATACTGATTAATATTAATATTAATGGTTGTGATTGCTCTCTAAAATTTCTGATGTTC